TGACACCAACAGCGTTTGCAGTTGCACACGTTTTTATTTGCTCTGTGTTTTTCACTGGTCAACTTTTCAGCTGCCCTCCTTGTAGCACACACACCTCCCACCTCATGTCCCAGCACATCTTTTATTGGGGATCCATGACAAGATGATGGAGCTCAGGTGGCTGTCAGCCTCCCCTGAACCCGCTGCTCCACCCCTCCTCTGCAGCTGAGCCACTAACCACACGCCAAAGTAAACAAAAGTGAATGTAAACATGTCTTCTAGGGCAATAAGAAACCTTCATAGGGCACCTTTAATCTCTCATACAACTCAGTGGGTGAAAACAGTTGCATAGTGCAAACCCTAACCCTGTTGCTTTGGAGGAGTTTATCAGTTTTGGGAAACTAACAGTGTTGCAATGGGTTAAGGTATCCATCATTACCCATAAAGTCCTCTAAAAATGACCAAAATAAACCTTGTCTCCTTGGCTGTGATTTCCAATCTATGTTATAAATGAAAGGAGTTGATTTGGAGAGATATTAGGCATGAGGGCATTTATGAGGCCAAAAAAAGAAAAGCAGTTTACTTGCATTATGGAAAATGTAAACTTTAGTTTTTATGGAGCTTAGCTATTAACAGACATTAGCCCAGGTGTGTATGTATATCAGTATCATAAACTTAACAGCATACCTGGCTGAGCTCCACCAGATGTTCCTTTTCCTTCTGCAGCTTCTGCACCACCTCGTCCCTCTGAAAAAGCTGCTCTGACAGCGTCCTTACCTCACTGTGTGACAGCTATGAAAACAGACACAGGTTGTAACTTAATAGCAATTTTTAGCCACTTTGTACATCAGATAATATTTTATTCATTCAAAAAATGACCAGGCTAAACTATCTATACAGATTTTCTTCTTATCTAACTCCGCTAAAACCCTTCCCTCTGTAGCTACCGCTGTTTGCTTGGGCATGTAACCATGATTGCTTGTGAATACAGCAGTTTGAGTCTGTAGCCTGTGACTGCAGCCACACCATAAAACAATTGTCTCCTTTCATGACAGAAACAGATGTCACGATCCCTCTTTCTAATAGACATCAAAGCTTTGTCTTCTCTTAGAGAGAAAGGTGAGAGTTAAAAATGTGCAAAACAAGACGAGGCAGCAGACTGAGGTACGTGGACACTAACATGCTTTTCAACAAATTTCAGAGTGAACAGGTGAGTCGAAACTTTCTACTCACATCTTGTCCAGCTAAAAGATTATTGTGGCATCAGAGGAGGTCTTATCATTTTCTTTTTCAAAGCTTTGCGCCATCAAACCAGTCTGGTCTTGTTCTCTTCTCTGAGCCCCCTGACATTTCCCTCTTACTGTATCTTTGCCACACAGGAGGCCACTCAGCAAAAAAAAAAACAATCATCATATAACTAGAGGATCAAATTTATAACATCATGGAGCAGATCAAATTGTTCAGAGTAAATTCCCAACTCAGCACTGCTTTGCTACCCAGAGAAATCTTAATTCACTGTCACGCACAGAGTTGTGAGCGCAACACGTTTTTGCAGCATTCCTGAACAAAGATAGGATCCTAATCCTTTAATACACCTCAGTGAAATAGATAAAGGGGTTTGGGGGGCAGGGGCTGTAACGGAGGTGTCAGAACAGCCCTTTCTTGTTAGTTTCTGCACAGAGAAGACCGTGCTTCTGCAAAGCGTGGAAAAACAAAAAAAATAAAAGAGCGCAAGCACTCTTGGTGGGAAGATGTTTTACC